AGAACAAGTTACAAGAATACAGAAATGGGTAATACACATAACTGGAGACTCAAACTCTCTGCTACTGCCAACTCCATTAACTTTACTGAAAAAGGAAGGTAATACTTCTAGCTGTTTAAATCAGTACTTACTAATTTCTTTAAGCAGTGTTTTATATTTGGAGAATAAGTGCTTTGAAATTCATAAATTGATGGTGGTAGTGGTGCATTCAGTGGCATCTATCCCCCAACTTCTGGATTATAGGTTACTAGATGTTCCAAGTTGTAACTGAGAGCTGCTTCTCTGTAGTTCAGGAACTGTTGGAAGTGTACTTAAACTATACATGAATAATTATATATAAATTTAATGGAAGTGGACCACTGTGACTGACAAATAAAGAGACATGCTGACTTTTCTTTAAACTATGGAAAGCCTTGTTCCTGGTTCTGCTGTAGGCTGGCTTTGTAACCTTTCTCTAGTGTTTGTCATGTCACAGCTGAAAGCTAAAACACACTATGGCAAACACCATTTTTAAAATCTGTGTATGGTGAAGCAATATTTGTTTTACAACTGTGACTACCCTTTTTCATGAAAAAGGAAATGCAGTGCTTTAGTTGCAAAATGAAACACATTTTGTCAGAGCTATATTCAATTAGACGGTCTCTTTAATGGAACTGTATTATATAACACAAAGTTACAATTTCAGATCACATACTTCTGATCAGTAATCAGTAATAACTGTTTAAGTCAGATGGGAATCTGAAATACATCATTGGACTGGGATCTTAAATCCTATTAAAGCTACAGTCAAAGTTCAGCTTGTCTCAACTTGTCCAATATGCTTGTATTAAGGTAGTCAGACTCCTGTTAAAAGTTAAAAAACTCACATTTAATTGAAATTTAGGTTAAAAAGAAACCATTAGGTACATCATTCATGCTAACAGTTGTACATAGTGGTGAGTCAAGAACAGAAAACAGTACCACAAATAAACCATGGCTCAAAACCTACTGTAGCTGGATTGCTGCAGCCGCTCTTCCTATACCGAGGAGCTGTGTATGCATTGCTGCCGTGCTCTGCTTTTGTTGGACTCTGCCCTTTCCTTGAGGTGCAGGCACCAGTGCCCACAGCTTCCAAGGAAGGCCTGAACTCCTCTCCATTTACCACTAGGATGTGGGAAACTCCAGTGGGGGGTGGGGGGGGGGGGGAAAAAAGCAAAAAGGAAATTTTTTGGGTAAAAAAAAATCTTAAAACCCCCCCCCCCCCCCTTCCCCATTACAAAATATTAATAATCACTGGAAAAAAATGTCTGGATAGCCACAAGAAAGGTGTAAATACATCCAAAGCCCTCCGGTGTTATTTCAAAGGCGGTTTTTAAAAGGCCAATAAAAGTGGACGAGGAAGACTTGTTTCTGAGGAGTTCTTGCCCATCTCCTGCCGCAGATAAAATACTGCAGGCAAGGGCAGCACTGACAGTGAAATAAACGTTACTGCTGCTGGCTCCACTGCGCCTCGGAGCAATCCTCGGGCACAAATAGCCGGCTTAAAAAGTGACTGTCACTTACGTGAGGGTTGTTTTTTACCTCTCTTCAGAGAATCTCGGGCATATGCCGTGGGCGAATAAGCAGTTTTCTTAGATGAATAAAGAGGATGTGTCGGAGTTTTATTGCTGTCTTAATTAGAATAAAGTTAACACGCTAAAGCCATGTGGTCATCTGAGGCAACTATATTCCTACACCTGCATCCAGAGGCGGGGAGATTTTGTGGGGGGGGGGGGGGGGGGGGGGGGGGGGGGTAACAATGCAAAATGGAAATTATTTGGCTAAAAAAAAAAAATCTCAGAATCCAGAGAACTTTATTGAGTAAAATAGATACAAAGGTGATATAGACAACCCAGAAATAGCTCAGTAGCAATGTTTTTTGCAGTGCCACATTACAAATAAAGCACACTAAGAAACCCTTGCTGAGCTTTTTGAGTGTTAATGGCAAGAGGTGGACACAGCTTCACACTGTGGAAGTGTCTGTATTCTGAGTAATTCAAATCAATCTAGAAGATATTTTTGTTAAATCTTCAAGCTGCTTTTACTACTGTTGTATTGATCTTCAACATCAGTGATTTTATTGTGTTGCACTATATCCACACTACCAAACTCCAGCCACTTCTTCCCTGGGAAGTCCCTTTTCCAATCACTTGTTTAAAAGCAAAAAACTAAAAAACAAAATGAAACAAAAAAAAAACCCCAACAAAATAACCAAAAACCCCCCACAAAACCCACTCCTTGTATTGCACATCTCACACAAGTCTGTGTAGATATATATATATAATATATATATTTAAATATGCTACAATTAAAAAAAAATGTCTATGGCACTTTATTGAATATAAGTTTTAAGAAGTTGATGAAACCACAGATGTTTGAAGAAATCTTCAATACCACAAAACAAAGTTAAACTGAACTAATTGGCACACAGGTTTTAAAGAATCCACAGCAAATTCCTCTAGATCCTATGCAGTGCATGTACATTAAGAAGCAGTTACACTCTACAGCCCCCTCATGAAATCAATTAAATTAGCTTTAAGCTGATTCTGCTTTTTTCTTTCCCAAAGTGCCTTTGAAAGCTACTGCTGAGGTGAACTTCAGGAGCAATTTAAACAGCTGTGAAATTTTAAGGAGTGCACCCTGCACCTGAAAACCTCATCCAGGAAAAAAAAATCGCTATATATACCACCTTATCACTTGCTAGAAAAACAGAACCCTGAGAAAAGAAATTCTGATTATTTCTCCTCTGTATTTCTTCCCAGCCTGTCTTCTGTCTGTACTATGTGATGAACATGGATATTCTTGCAAGTTAGTTAATTATGCTGTTGCAGAGCAAGCTGATAATATACCAGCAACAAGCAGAAAAGCTGGTTCTCCTTGGTTACGAATGCAAACAAAAGCAAAATGTGCCACTGAAAATCTCTTTAATACTTAAAAAATCAAGCCCAAACAAAATGTACTACTGAAATTTTTTAAGCATCATGAGTATCACAGCAGAGGTCAGCTAGTAACATGAATGAAGGTTGTTCATTGTTTACTTCTCAACAAGAGTGGATTATGCTCTCTCGACCTTTGTAAGGACTAACCTGACCTGATTCTGGCTAATCAAGTGCTTAAGCCAGTGCAGCATTTTTCACCCTAATACTGTGTCAAGACTTGTTGGCAATGGTGACCTGGACTTTGGATTGCTACCCACCTAAGGAAGCTAAAACTGTACATCTGCTTAGTAATTTTTAGCTGGTTTATATGGTACTCATACAACTGCTTACCCCCTCTGTCCCAGCTGCAGGGCCCTGGAGGGCAGGGGAGAGCTGAGCTGGTGGCCCAGGTTCAGCGCATGCTCCAGAAGGGGCTCAGGAAGGATGCCTGGAGGAAGCCTTGCTGGACCCCAGTACAAGCCCAGTGCATGTCCTTCAGGTGTGGGGGATGTGTATGGGGCAAAGCCAATGAGACACACAGGTATGGACAAGGTGTGTGGGTTCTGGTTTTCACCCTCGAGCACCACTTCGTGCTGGTAATTTTGCTTTATTAAAATCTTGATTTGTGCAGGCAGTTGGTCCCAGACCATAACTTTGGGGGGGATTTAAATTCAATATTTAAAAGAACATTGAGTTCCCTGTTTTAAAGTAGTTGATGGTGGATGTGGGTTGCAGGAGCAGGTGAATGCAAGAAGAGGCTAGGTTAAAACAATCCCTTTTTGAATACAGGCAGAAGATGACCTTGTTGCACTGCGTCTCAGAGGTCACCTGTGTATCTGCCCAGTGCACAGGTGGCAGGTGCCATGGGCATAGAGGCACAGGCTGGAGCTGCTGTCACTGGTGGGCAGCCGGCGCTGGAAGGGGACCCCAGCTCCGTGACTGCTCCCCAATCCTCCTGGCTGCCCGGGCCCGCCGGCAGGACTGCGGAACAGCTCTTGTCTTGTGAAGCACATCAGCAGTGCCTTGAGAGCAGCTGCCTACCTGGACAGTAACAACCATTTTTTAATAACTAATGGCACATTTTAAGGGACTGACCAGGCAAAACCAAGAACCTCTGCTCTGTGTGATAGTGAAGCAACATTGTCACTAGATGATGTTAAACTACCAAGAAATAAGAAAAGGAATCTAAAATTCACCTAGTATTTAATTAGAACTACTCAGATCAGTTATCCCCAATGCTCCTATGGCACAGTTGCATCATTCCTTTGTTTGTTAAAATACCTTACAAACTTCGTATCAGAAGTAGTTCTAGTAAGTGAGGCAACACCACAAATAACACAACGAGCTGGCTTTGAGAAAAAAGGCATTTGTGGCAATGTCTGTTTAACTTCTGCTGATTTAGTTGGAAAAAGGTCTACTACTACACACACACAAAAAAAAGGGAAAAAAAAATCTTCCCAGCCACAAAGAATTTGTAAAGGCTTCCTGAAAAATTTAAATTTCCTAAAGACTCATGTGCGTCTGGGTCATGAGACAGACTCATCTGTAGACTGGGAATGACGTTTCACTGACAAGAGAAAAAGTACAATGTTGAATTACAATGTGGAATCCACAGTTGTAGGAGAGGTTGCAGCCCAGATATGGCAGGTACTGTGGGGAGCTGTTGTCTGCTTGGGATTTCAGAAGTTTTAATAACAGCTGTAGAAATATTTCAGTTTTATGTTAATCAGGTGAGAGCCAGTTTAACAACATCTTCTCTGTCTAGTCAGTGGAAACAGTATTTACCTGCTAAGTAATAAGTTGCACACACCTTGTGCTCTAAGTTTCAAGAGAGAGAAACCTGGTAAGGACTTGACTTTCTAAATGATTTAAGATTGGTGTAAACGTCAGCTTTGCTCTCTCCAACATAGAGTTAATATCCAAGAAGGCACTGTACTTCTAGGAAGTTCACTACCAAAAAGCACCTCCATGAAAATGGTACCAAACCAGGTGATGGTAAAGAAATATTCACCAGTGAGGGGAGCCCTTGGAAACAAAGCCTCATTAAAATAAGCTTCTCTTTTGCTTAAAAAAAAATGTGCTGGCTTTTATTATTTTAAACCCAAATTCTTCAAAGTGACCATGGTGGGTTAGGCAATCCGATCAATCAGAATTTTTCAGTTTTAACAACATTCCTGTTATATACATGTGATTACTCACATCCCCAGTCGGATTAATATCACTGTGTCCTGATCACAGAATGAAACTAAAAATATCCCCAAGTATTTACATTCTGCTTTCTTGGGATCCTTTCTCTGATCCTCATTGCCCAGCAAAGAAGAAAGACCCTTTCAGTAGTTCAGGGTTGGAATGCATGGGGCTCAATCACACAAATGGTAAAAACAGGTAAATGGATCTGCTTGCCCAGTCAATGGAAAGCAGATAAAGATCCAGGTGCTGGTATTTTTCCCCGCTGGAGTTAAAGGAGGCAGATAAGGTTTTTTCCTTCTTCTATTTCTTCTTGCACTTTGTCACTGGATGTGGCTATTTCAGCTTGCGCCGAGAAGACTGCACAGATGAACGTCAGAACAGTGCCGCCGATAGCTGTGTAGAAAGCCCAGCCCAAGGAGCAGTCTCCTAGTTTGTAAGCAGAAGCATAAGGTCCACAATAGCTTATCGCCTTCTGGCATCCCCAACCTGCAGGGTAAAGTATCAAGCCTAAGATAAGGAAGAGCCCTAGAAGTAAAAACAGAAAGAAGTTTTACAAACAATCAGTCTAACACCAAATGCAGCACATCTAGTAATTGTTATTATGGTCACTAATACTCATAATTTACCACAATTAGGAGAAAACTGACATCTCATCCATCCAATCTTCCTTTACTGATTGTTGCCTCGTATATGCCATGCAGTCTTTCAACTAAATTTGAAGCTACCCTGTGATTTATGTCATGAAAGGCTTACTTTTTATGATAATGGCCTAATTCCTTACTTTAATCTCTGTACTCCTCCTACATCCTTTCCTCTCACACATTATTGCCACAAATACAGAGCATGCAAAATATTCAAGCATCTCCACCTACTGCTTATGCTTGCACTTCTCAAGAATGTAGGAATATTTGCATCCACTTTTGATTTTGTATTTAGCTTTATTTAGCAATTCACCATAAACATGTTTGCCTGTTTTCCTCTGGATTTTGCCTACATCAATTTTCTTGCCTGGAAAAAAACAAACAAAAACCAACAACAAACGAAACAAATCCAAAAAACCCCAAAACCACAAAAAACCAGTCACATTTCTACTTTTTTGCCACATTAGGACATAGTAGAAAGATAACACTGCCAGTTCACTAAGCTGCTCTCATAACAGAGGGATTCTGGAGCCTGCCTCAAACAAACAGATCCAAGTATCCGTAGCCAGTGCATACGTAACCCTGGGATGCTCCAAACAGTCGACTAACTACTTCAGAAGGAAAGCAGTTTTCCAGTGATGGCAGGGGCAAAAGCCTCAACTCCCCATCTTGCTAAACACCCCCAAGAGTCTGGTGTGCCTCAGGCTGGACGTGAAAAGCTCAGACTAACTTGTTCCACCCATGTGATTTTCTCTTGTATTTACAGGTTTCTCTATGAAGACCATCTAAGCAGTGAAGGGCTTCATTAAGGAAATTGAAAGTCACATTAGTGTCCCTGCACACGCGTCTTTGCACAAAGAAAGGAGATTTAATCAAAATGTCTAACATGCTAGTGGCTACAGTGCTTTTTCATGAGCACTAAAAAAAATCACAATGCATTAAACACATACCTCCTTTCTACAAGGAATGTAAGAAGGAGCTAAACACAAGAACAGCTCACAGTATCAAAATTTGCTTTCTGTTTACCTTAAAAATTTGCTTAAAAGGAAAATGATGAAAAACAGTTTTTGTTTAAATGCAGTCAGTTTATCCAGAAAATTAATATAGCTTTCCAGATCCCATAAATATTTCTGATTTACTCTTCCTGCACTTTAGATCCCTTTATTTAACCTGGTATGCTGATGAAAACAGCTGCTAAAAATGCTGTCACCTTCTAGAAACAGGCTAAAAGTTGTGCACAAAAAGCCAGTCTTTTTTTTTTTCCTGTAATCAAGAGATTACAAAGAACAGGTTTAAAGACTTGTTTTCATCTGCTTCCATTCAGTTAGACTAGCAGTTAAGACTTCTCTGCAGTATGTTAGGGTTCCTTAATTTTTATTCAAAGAAATTTGGCCAGATGCATGATATTGGCCTCATCAACAATGAAAATGTGGGTCCTAGCTAGTAAGCAATTAATTTACACAAAAAGCAAAAAACATCATCCAACTGTCTAAAATTAATGTCTGTGAATGCCAGACATTTCACAAAAGAAAGTCCTTCCTCCAGCGTTTTTCTAATGATGACACAACACCATGGGCATGAATGACCTAAATGTCATTACTCTTTGGGGCGGCAAAATCCATTAGTGAGTGATATCCGTTCTCTGTGGAGGGATTTCATCACTGCTCACATTTAAGAACCAGTGACAAATTTTATGCAGTGTTTCCTGGCTGGTTGGCCAAATACATTAAGTATAAAGTATTGCTTTATCTTGGACAGACCTGGATAAGCTGTGCATTCATCCTGCTGAGCCCTGCAGCCATTTCAGACTAAACACCAGCAGTTCCTTCTCCCCTACTCATCACTAGTTTCCTGTTCTGCGCAGCCAGTATGACCACGCTGTGTATCTTTCTGACTGCACATTGGTATGGGCCAGTTGCTGCGATCTCTAACGATCACAAGCCCTTTGGTAGGTAAAAATCACCATCACTGAATTAAGAAGCTGGATCTGAAATGCCAGCATAGCTGCTGCCAACATGGAAGTTTTTAAAGTTTACCACTCCATCACTCACAAACCTAGACAGCCCGTGTTTAACAGCAAACCCAGCTTATGGCCCCGTGTCAAAACAGGACCAAGAAGACATATCCATCACTTTTTATCAAAACTAGAGCACTGGGCAACTCCTGAAAGCTACTGGTTCATGGAATGTATGCCCCAAGCTCAAAAGCCATTACCCAAAACTCAGGCTCTCAAAAGGCTCCCAAATGTAGTCATCAGGACTTTACTGACTTAGACCATTTTTTTTCAAAAGTACAGAAATTTCCTGGATATATAAATATAATAAATACTATAAAAAGCCACAATTTGATAAACTTCATCTATTTTCTCACAAATGAACACAAAGTCTGGAGGAAAGCCTTAACTATGGATTTGAATACAGTCAGAGTGTGTACCTGATTTCAGACAGCTAACTGTAACTCCTATACTGGACCAGCATAATGAAATAAAAAAAAAGTAGTATTTTCACTACCAAACCTCCTTCCTACTTCTCCATTTCAGAGCAGACAGAAAGTGTTTCATGAGCATCTTAGCACTATCTCTAATATTTATCACAATTTCTTATTTAATTAATAACTGGTTCCTGCTTGACAGGAAAAGTAAATAAAGATGATTCCACTAAGTCAATTCAAAATACCCAGAGAAGAAAGGCACTCCTTTGGTTCACGCTAACAGCAAAGGGAGAGGCACAGGCCCCTCATCACATATTCAGCTCAAACTCCCATATCCAGAGCAATGGCTGAGCTGTGCAGTGTCCCTTCCTGCCTCTCCCCATCAGCCCAGAACAGAGTGTTCAATGGAAGAGCAGCTTTGCTTCCTGCCACCCAGTATCTCAGCAGAGACAGTCACAGAGCCCATCTCAATGACTCCTACAGCTGAACAAAACAGACAGATGATGCTCCACCACACACTAATAGTGCAAACCATTGCCTAAACTGCCTGAAACAGCAGACAGCAAACCAAAGCACTTAACTGTTCAATTACTTGCAGCCAGACACCCCTCAAAAAGAACCACCCCCTCTACTCCTGGAAGCATGGATGCAAAGGGACAAGGAGAAAAAAACGTATCTTCTGTTGACAGTTTGCCTTGAGACATATCTAGCAGAAGGACAGTAAATATTAATTATGGAGTATTTCTCCTTAATAAATCAGTTTTTGTTTGCCCCTGTGTCTTTGAAGAGAAGCCAGTACTCAAGAAAAAGAACAGAGAATAAAAATTGTGTGTTCTGTCTGAACAAGTTTTCTACAATGAACCTCTTCAGTTCTTTGTGCTGCTGTACAAGAAATTATTTTTAATTCACAGACAACCTACCTGTGAAATTATTGCTGTTTGCTCACCCTGCTGGGAGGAACAAATTCACTCTGAAAATATTACAAGCTATTTTCCACTGTGCTCATCTACAGGCACATCCACAGAGTTCATGCTTGCACTATTCTAGATTTAAATCCCTCTATGGGCACAGCTGCACTGCTGAAACTGCAGCTTCTGCTGTACACATTCACTGTTTCTACTTTTTAAGCAGCACAATCCTGCTTCTTGAAATCAATATGATTATTTTTCAAAATTTCCTTTTGTTAGTTGTTGCCAGTTCTCAGTTACCTCTGCTCTGAGGAATCCTCAAAACAGAGGTATGAATGTCACACAGTCTTGCCAGATGCCTAGGAATGACAACAGAGAGCTATTCAAATTACTTTTTTACCCAGAGACCTCACCTATGAGGTCTTACACTCTTAGGTGTAAGTTCTGTCAGCAGAGAACATTTTTACATCTTTCACTGAACGCAATTTCACCATACAACTTTTTATTATCAAGCCCTAATTACTTGCTTTTGAAAAGATGTCTTTGAGATTTAGATTTTAATGTTACTATTTGATTACTATGTATCTCCTGATTACAACAGCCTATCAAACATCAGGCATTCTTTACTTAAATGGTGTAAAAGCAACTCCTTTCTCCGAAAACACCAAAGCAAAACCTTAGCATACTGAGAACATCAATATCAGTATCAATATAGAAAACTGCATCACTGTGCAAAAATATTTCAGAAGACACTTGATTAATGCTTTTTCTATAGGATAAGACTTTTTGTATTTCTGCACCAAGAACTTTTCCCCTTTTAAAGGCCTGCAGCTGTACCAGGCTCCTCCTGGTTTTTATACACTGCAGCAATGCCGCCAGGTCAACACTGTGGAAAACCAACAGACCAGCCTTTCACTGTGGGCATTTTTATGTCACATTATGAGCTGGGGTTCAGATCTGAGTAAAACCTTTCTTTTTCCTTGGAAGCAACCCTTGAGACAGGAGGCAGGGCAGAGGCTTGTTCAGCCAGATGAAGGCATGCTGTTTAGTTCTGACAGTCTCCTGTGCTGCTGCTGTTGTGCCATATTAAACAAGATCATATACTAACAAAGCCACTTTCCATTGCAAAGCCTGAAACTATCTACTCATTTCCTAGCAAAATAGTAAAAAAAGTTTTTAAATACTGCTGAAGAAACAGGAAATTAAGCAGCTATGATCAATGAGGTGGCACTGCAACAGACTCCTATGGAGCCGCACAACTGAGCAGCAACATTTTAAGAGAGGGAAAAAAGGGTAAAAGGGTAAAAGCAGGGAGGGACTAGCTTTGCCATGCAGTGCAGGTGGGCTGCATCCCCAGTGGCACTGATCCTGATTGTTTTAACCTTCTGCAAAACCACCGGGGATTAAGAATCAGTCCAGGGACACTGCATCAGCCAGGCACCCTGCCTTTTTTGCTCACTTTTCCACATATGTCAATATGCTACCTGAACATTTCATATGTTAAATACCTGTACAAATATACTAGTGTAGCTTAAGCCAAGAAAGT